GCACCTAATGGGTGCTAGGCCCTCTGTTTGATACTGAGGATCCAGAGTTTCTGCCTCATGAAACTCATACCTTGAAGAAAACAAATTTTCAATGTATAGACTCATCAGATGGAGCAGTCAAGTAACCACAAGAATAAAAGGAAACCAAGAAATGAAGTGGTCATCTTTGTAGGGAAGGACTACATAACCTGTCTCCTTAATCATGACTAAGCTCATTCGAGGCCATGTCCCTCAGAATAGTTGCTGCTTTGATGGAGGGCATAGAAAAGAAACTTGGAAAAATAAACCATTTTTGAGTGAGGTAAAACAGGAAAAAAACCCATAGTTAATTCAAGTCCAGAGTATTGGCTTCAGTGAGGGTGAGCATCGTAGGTTCCTGTAGTCAAGACAAATATCTCTTCAGAGTTAAAACAGGAATCAGAAATCCTTATGACAAATGAAATTCAAATTTTTAGAGAGGTACAAGCAAATGGCATAGTTACAGAGGAAAAGCAGTAGTTAACATGGGGGACAGATGGGAATCAGTGAAGATTTTACAGAGGAGTTGGCACTGAGTGAAGCCTTGTAGGATTAGTATTACAGCAGATAGAGGGGGAGAGGGGCTGGGAGGGCCATCTAGTCAAGGTTCAGAGGCATGAAAATACATGGGGTATGGGGAAATGCAGTGGGAGATGAAGCTGGAAAGATAAATTATGTTGAAATGTGGACGACCCAGTCTAGTATGACACATGTGAGGCGCCTGGGACACAAAATTTGAGGCGGCATTCACTCTTAGGGTCAGACAAGTGCAGGGTCAGCACGGTGGCTATGGTCATCAAGTAGAGGATTGATTTCAAAATCTCCCATATGAGGGACTTCTGCTTCTGGGAAGATGGAGTAGATATACATTTTTATTATGCTTTCTATCAAGTGCAACTAAAAATCCTGGACATTATGGAAAACAAACACAAGACCCTGACAGGTGGAGGGAAGAAAACAGACAAGTTGGAAACTTGAAATCCAAGGAACATGGTGGTGAACTCCCTGGGTTTTGTTTTGCCTCATATTTCCAGACTTGCAGATGAAGAAGCCAGCAACCAGGAAACACCAATGGGTGCAGACAAGCTCCCAAGAAAATCCTGCTGTCTCTAACCAAAGGACCAAGAAAAGGGGAGCCGCACAAGTCAGGGAGCCTGTATTCTAGTCAAATATCCCAGAAAAAACTGGGCCAAAACCACCCCCAGGCCAGCCTTTCCCCCAGCCAAGACTAAGTGGAGAGCCTAGACTTTCACTCTCACCAGGCTATAGAGTTGTCCCAAATGGCCCCTTCCTGCCAGAGTAGTATCAGAGAAGACTGGGTGATAACACCCCCACCTCCCCAATCAGTGGAGATCTTGGGAAGTCTGAGCTTTCACCCTGACCCAGTGGTAATGAGGCACAATTCACCTAACTGCTGGGCTGGCATCAGAGAAGGCTTACTGGAAATTCAGGACTTTCACCATCAACAGCAGCAACAGGGTCACCTCTACTGTGGTATCAGTGGAGACCACAGAATGAGGAGATTTTTCTGCAGTCTTCACTGTAAGAACCTCATTGAGCTCCTTGATGTAAAATTCATGAAAAGTGGCTTTCCCCCCCAACCCCGAAAAACCTGGGCCCCCAGGATTTTTTTTTCTTCTCATGCTGGTCTTCCTTCCGCCTCCAGCAGTCTATCACTTACCATTTTATTCCTGCCAGTTGCTGGCTCCAGCAGTGGCTTCTGATCCTGAGAAGCTGTGATTCTTTATATTCATCTGTGTCTTCACTTTTGGGGTATCTGTTTGCTCTGTGACCAGTTCTCTGGTCAACCTGGGAAGACATGTTGATTATCAAGTTTGTTCAGCTTTTTTCTTGTTTTGAGGTTGGCAGCTCCCAAGCTCTTCATATGTTGTAGTGGAACTGGAATTTCTGTGCTCATTTTTATTCATTTTTTTTTTTCTTTCTGTTCCTCAGACTGGATAATCTCGATTGATCTATCTTCGAGTTCACTGATTAGTTCTTCTGCTTGCTCAGATCTGCTGTTAAGCTCCTCTAATGAATTTTTTTCAGTTATACTTTCCAACTCCAAAATTTCTATTTGTCTCTTTAAAAAAATCATTTCTCTTTATTGATGTTCTCTATTGGAGACATTATTCTCATACTTTAGTTCTTTAGACATGGATTCCTTTGAAAATATTTTAAATAGTTGATTTAAAGACTGTCTAGTAGGGCCAATGTCTGGGCTTCCTAGGGAAAGTGTATTAATTGCTTTCCTTTACCTTTTATCATTCATACTTCTCTTTCTGTTTTTTTTCTTTTTTCTTTCTTTCTCTCTCTCTTTCTTTCTTTCTTTCTTTCGTCTTATAGTCTTGTTGAAAACTAGACATTTAATATAACATGGCAACTCTGGAAATCCGTTTCTCCCTGCTCTCCAAGGTTTGTTGTTGTTTAGTGACTTTTCTCAACAAATTCTATAAAGTCTGTATTCTTTGTTGTATGTTGACACTGAAGTCTCTGTTGATTAGCTTAGTGATCAGCTAATGATCGAACAAAGATTACCTTAAATGCCTGGAACCAGTAAATCTCCCAGTCTTTCATGAGGGGCTCCATGTGCATGTTGGGGCATGCCTTTAACAATCAGCTACGAAGTTAAAAACTCTGCCATAGCCTTCACTTTTTGCTTGGACAAAAGCCTTAGGTCAGTCAGAGGTGAATGCTTAGGACCATCTTGTGTCTTTCTTGAGGATACTCACAGCCTTAGACACGCACACAGCACATGTGCATGGCCTAGAGTCTCAGGAATGTGTCAGAGCTTTTCAAAACTCCTATGGACAGCTAATTTACCAGCTTTTCCTTTAAGCTTTTTGGCTACTCTGTGATTTGCCCCAAATGTTATCCACTACCTCAGGCAGCCAAGAAGTTGAAACAGTTGTAATTGTTTTTGCCAAAATCCCCTTAGAGGAAGACTTTTTGCATTAGGAGAACTCCAAGTTAGTCAAATACAGATAGCTTTGCAAGAGAGGATTTCCAGGTAATCAGAAGACAGTTCAAATAATGACAGTTCTTTGGGAATGAGGCTTTGAAAGAGCTCTACCTCTATTTTCCCTTTGGTGGCTGCATTGCAGGTTGGGTTTTATTTTCAAGGTTGCCATGGAGCTGGATAGTGAATGATGGAACAATGCCGCAAGCCTGCTATTCATACTGAGATTCAGTTGTTCTTAAAAATAAGTGTTTCCTGAGCTGCAGTAAGCTTTTAATTTCCAGAGTCTGAAAAAGACAGTTTTTCTGTCCAATTTTTCATTGCTTTTATAGAGGAAAGAATTTTCAGAGGTCTTATGCCACTAGTTTTGTTGATAAGTCCCCTGCTCTTTGTGACTTCACCCAGGGTTTAGCCAGAGCAACAAGGAATAACCCTTCATAGTTAAAATAATTTCCTCATTTAACTGAACCAACTTTGCTGAGTGTGAATACCTTAAGATAATAGAAACCTGATTTATAACAGACATCCTATTCTTTTTTTTTTTTTTTAAAGATTCCATTTATTTGAGAGAGAGAGAATGAGAGATAGAGAGCACGAGAGAGAAGAGGGTCAGAGGGAGAAGCAGACTCCCCGCCGAGCAGGAAGCCCGATGCGGGACTCAATCCCGGGACTCCAGGATCATGACCTGAGCCAAAGGCAGTCACTTAACCAACTGAGCCACCCAGGCGCCCACAGACATCCTATTCATATTGCTTTTTGAAATCCTTTTGTCTTAGACATAAAATCTGATAATATTCTGAAGTCAGTGAACCTACATCTGACTCCTGTTAAATGACTACAGCTATATATTATTCTGTTGTGTTGCTACAACATAAAGTCTAACCAGTCTTCCATGATTGAAGATATATGAGTATTTTTAGATATATGAGTATTTTTAAGATATTAGCCTCCCCATATTACTGTCCTTTTATTTAATTGAAATCCCAGATTGACTTTTGATTAATAGTCAAACCTTAAAAGGTTCTCTGAGAGAACAAAACTTGAAAAGGTGAGACTGAGAGTAAATGATGTAGAGTAGTATTTGGACACTCATATTTCTACTGGTCCTAAAATATATCTGAACATGGAATGGAATTCAGAACTCCATGATAAGGAGTTGGTGTCCAGGGTGTTGATGTCACACAGCCTCTGGCCTGACAGGCATAGGGCATAGAAGTTGGAGCTGGACAGTGGCTGTATATTCTGGTAGCTCTTGTGGAGATTATGCATCTAAAAGCAAGCTCTTCAGACTTACATCTTAATTACTCCTAACAGGGATAATTAGAATTTTCTTTCTCAAATTAAAAGTTTGAGAAATTCCTGATAAGATGTACTATTTCCTGAAGTTTATATTAATTATAATTTTTTTTTACTGCCGACCTTCATCAAGCATGGAAGACTTAGACACTAGTAAGTATGTTTTGGCAGTGGATTGTTTTTCAGTCCTTGCTCACTTTTCCCAGTTTCAGGGAGTGAGATCAAACGAATTGCTTATTCCACAAAAACTGGATTTCCTGGGAGGATTGAGGAGGAAAAATGGCAGTTGTCAGTGGGAGAATAGAAGACTTTTCCTGAAACACGTATCATTTACAAGATAGATTTGTATATTCTCAGCACTGTTGAACATAACATTTTTAAAAAGTTGTCCCCTCAATCATCCCCATAGGAGATTGTTAAGCCTGAGGTAGAGTGAGGAGTTAATTCTGATTCTGAAAGTGAATGTATTTCACAACGCCCAGGTATTCGGGAGGAAAACCATTTATTTTAGTGAGACCTGTTTTGTTACTTACAGCTGCACATTACTGCCTTTGAAAGGAAGTAAAAGATTCTCCTGCTTCTTTCTCTCTGGGTTTTGCATTTCAGTCTCGTCTCATTCATAAATAAACCCTTTCCCCCTCTCTGGGCCAGTTTAGGGTCCTATGCCTTCCTGGGAAGATTCATTTGTATTTTACACGCACAAGGAGCTGTGGTTTGGGATTCAATTCTTTTTCCACTAGAGGAAGCTGTTGAGGTGGCAAGGTGGCTGGGTGGGGAGGGGAGCCCATTCATTGCCTGCACTTCTCTGCCTAGATAAAGCTCAGTCTTCTAAAGTCAACACGATAATTATGTTCTGCATTGGTGGCGGTATCCTGGTGGCCATTCTTGTGCTGATGGGTGTTGTCATCTGTCTTTACTACAAAATATCCGACGCATTGAAGTGAGTGATGTGGGTAAGGGTGAAAAATACCCCCTCAAATAGGATACCTGGGGCTCTCTGCTTGAGCAAGGTCATTCCTTGCCCTGTGCCTGCACCCAGAGTGAGGTCAGGAACAGCGGGTAGGTTTGAAAAGATAAAAGCAGGTGAGTGTAGAATCTTGTTTTTTTCCCCTTCTGGCTTAGGGCTGTGAGCTCGTGAGTAGAATGTTCTCAGCTGGGTGGCTCCGTGCTGCTTTGCTCCACTTACCCTCCCAGAGTGGACCCGCAGCTGGTTTACTCAGCACACTGGCTGGGCCCTCCCTCCGCCCCAAGCACTGCAGACCGTGGGGGAGGCCGTGAATGAGTCTGTGCCTCGGATTCACTCAGAGGACAGGCTGACTGGATCTCCTCTTAGCTGAGTGGGGGAGCTCTCACGGTGTTCTCTCATTCACTGTGCATGGCCTTGGGGACAGGGAGGCGGGCCTGTGGGGCTGTGGGGAAGCTGAGCTGTGTGAAGATCCTGGGGGACACCTGACAGGGGGGTATAGACAAAAGATAATTAACTTCGGGGGAGAGGAACCTTCAAATCTGGGAGAGATGGGTCATTAGAAGCAGTGCTGTTCCCATGCTAGGGAAGTTAAGCCTGGGAGCTAGAAGATGAATCCCAGAATGTGGGGGACAGCCAAGTGCGGCCCCTTCCCGGTCACGCTCTGCCTTTGGATGGGCCTGCAGCGATCAGCTGGGTGATCCACACTTGCAGTTTGCTCTCCCTTGTTTGCTGTAACCTGATTGTACATTTCTAGCATCCTAGGAGAGGAAGCGATTAGACGGGAGCTTGGCACAGGGGCAGAGAGCTCTAGTTTCGGGCTGCTGTTATGTATTTGATTGGCTCTAGGCCAATCTAGGTAAACTTCACAGATACCCCTGATAATTGTGACCAGTGGACTGAGAAGAAAAATTCTAATCCCATGCTTTGTGTATGTCTTTTCTTAAGACCTTCAAAGGCACCTCTTTGTTTGGCCTTAAAGAGTAATCCGGCCATGCTCACTCAGGACAAGGTCGCCGCGGCCGCAGCCCTCACCCCTGGGTCCTACCCCAACGTCCAGTGCTGTGACGAATGTAGCTTGTATGCTGACTATGACCCCCTGCCACCGTGCTTCTGTGACGTAAATGAGGGACTCTGACTTGGGTGGGCACAAATATCTTCATGCGCAGTATTTCTTTTTTGTAGAATTATTATTCAAGCCAAGTTTTATAGTGTTTACATGCTGTATTATAGAACATATTTATGTACTTTTGAATAAATGCAATACTGAAAATAATCTTCTGCCTCCAGTGTTTGTTGGTGTTAGTTATAAATGCACTTAAATTTGTGTACTAGTCACTTTGGGACTTGGGGCATCTATCTTGTAATATTATATTGCAATATGGGGAGAGTTAGAGTAGAAAATAAAAGCATCCAGTACATCTCCAACCCCAGAAGAAGAATATGTATTGATCTTGGAGCATTTCCAGTTTCAGACTCATCAAAAATTCCCAAGCTGGACGAGTTCATTTGGCTCTTCATGTGAGGGCTTCATTCACTGGCCTCTAGCTACTCTACTGCAGACAATTATGTCACACTGTCCTGAAGGCGAACTCCTGTCATCTTAGAGCGAGAACAGACAAATGGGACATCTCTGGGTTTAACGTGTGACCTTAGATGATGGGGTTGAACCCGATGGTGTCTAAAAGATATTTTGAAAAACCTGAGATTCTTCCTTCTGCCCTTCCTCAAGTCTTCAGAAGCAGACTTCCTCCTCTTTAGATCATTTTAACATGGATTTTGCTGACTCAGCAGCCAGTGCCTCTAAGTGCTAACAGGAATCTCCAGCTGAAAGCCAAAGCCCAGGATTCTCTTGATCTGAGCAGTAGGCGGTAGGATGTACTTCTCTCCACTTCTGCTCATCAGCCCCCTTCTGTTCCTGCTCTTTCTACTGAGCCTTCTGGACCCCCTTCTATTCACAGACTCCCCGTCTGCGACCACAGTTTGTACTTTGTCTTGTTAACAAAACCCTTGCTTTGTGAGCATCGCATGTTGTACTTCATAGAAAGAGTTAACTAGTAACAGGTGCTTAGCCACTAAAAGGGGAGGAAAAGGACAACAGGAATGAAGGAAGGAAACAGCTTTTACCTCTAGGCTGTGGGGAGTGAAGAGTGATGCAATAAGCAGTTCCAGTTCTCTCAGCAGAGGGCTTGGCCGATGAGGGCATTTTTAGCACTTGAGTGGTGGAGAAATTTGCCAGAAGGAGTGTGGGAGCTGGAGCTGCCCTCTCAGAGCAGCCCTTGGAATGGCCGAGAAAATCCATGGCGGCTGAGTGCCCTCCAGCCCCAGTATGAGTTTCAGGAGGCAAATTCAAGGCTGCATCTTCCCCGGATCCTGCCCTGAGACCTTCCATCTGGAAGTGACCTGTCCCTCTTGAGTTCCTGAAGCATTTTGTCTGCCTCTCTGCCATCCCCTCCTCTGGCCTTGTCTTCGGTGTTCATGTGCGCTTCGATTTTCTCCTTGCCAGCGAGCTCCCATTTCCCCCTGGCCCTCACCCAGTGGGCAGCACAGTGCCCAGGACCCTGGAAGCCCTGTGCAAGCAAGTTCTGTACGGGAATTTCACGGGGACTATGCCTGAAGTTCAGGCATCCCAGGGTCCATGAAGGAGGCAGGATGGGGCAAGGGCTCTTAGAGACATCCCTCTCATAGGCAGTAGGGACAGTGTGTAACATGGCTTTCAGAGCCAGATAAACTTGGTTCCAATCCAACTCTGCTTTTCATTAGCTATGTGCCATTGGGGGGAGTTTCTTAACCTCTCTGAGCCTCATTTTTCTTGATGTAAGCTGGGGGCTTGCATAGGTGATGGTGAGGATTAAGCAAGATAAAGTATACTGGCCGCACAGGCCCTGGCATCCTGTGATCTCATGGTAAGTTGTCACTGGCCTGAACTGCTTGTCTCCTGATTTCTAACCCAGGGTTCTTTGTCCTCTGTTAATCCCCCTCCCAGGAGAGTCATCACGGAGCTCTTACACCAGTGGTGGTGGTTCAGGGAACTAGGAGATCACATCCATAGGAGACAGGGAGAGGCTTTAGTAAGAAAGTGGGGTAGGATGGGGATCTGTGGAAACAGCTGAGGGTGAGTGACCCTTAGTAATCAGAAGGGTCTTACCCTATACTTCTGCCCCTTGCTCACTCTCACACTAGGACACCCAGTCCCACCTGGTACGTGGCCAGCCCCAGGAGTCTCTGAGCTGATAGGAACCAAGTGGAGCGGTGCCACGTACCTTGGTGAGTGTCCAGGCTCCTTATGAGCACAACTTCCCAGTGTCACAGGTGCTGGCCTTGCCACCGTGGTACGGGTATGAAGCCAAATGCCTGATCCAGGGGCCTGACTGGGAACAGTCTTCCTGGGTCACAGCCCTGCCCGGGAACCCAAGTGTCCTAGAGCCAAGTAAGGGTTTCTGGGCTGCAGGACAGAAAGACATGGAAAGTTGAGGGCACCCAGGAAGGGTTTTAAGGTAGAAGTTCAGTCTATAGCTACCATTATTACCTCCACAGAGCTGCTGGGAAGGTCCTTAAATATTGGCCATCATTTTCCTGTTTAAAAAGTTCCATCAAACTTAGAATCAAATCCAAATGCCTCATCTGACCTACAAGTACTTCACAACTGGACCATTACCTGCCTCTCCTCACCTTGCATCCCACTTCCCTCCCCTTTACTCACACCCACCACACTGGCCTGCCTTCCCTTATTTTGTAGACATGCCCAACTGATTCCTGCCTCAGGGCCTTTGCACTTGCCCATTCTTTTGCCTAAAATGCATCTCCTAAGCCCAGATCACAAATGAATGCCTCTCTTTTTCTGTTTGCTCAAATTTCATCTTTCTCAGTTTCACCCTAATATTGCATCCCCCCTGAAATCTATCCCATCACCCTGTTTCCTTATATTCACCATCCCTATCACTATTTGTAATTTATTTCAGTTTGTTTGCTGTCTGTCTCCACTTAGCGAGTAAGTTCCATGGGGACAGGGACTGTTTTTCTCATGTTCAATTCCAAATCCCCAGACTGTATAACAGTAACTAACAAAAAATTTTTTTTAAAGATTTTATTTATTTGTCAGACATCGAGAGAGGGAACACAAGCAGAGGGAGTGGGAGAGGGAGAAGCAGGCTTCCTGCTGAGCAGGGAGCTGGATGCGGGGCTTGATCCCAGGATCCTGGGATGATGACCTGAGCCGAAGGCAGACGCTTAACGACTGAGCCACCCAGGCGCCCCTAACAAATATTTTTGAATAAATGAATGAGTGAAAAGAGGGCAGTCCCATATAAAAGCTTCTTGTGAGTATGATTTCCTGATGTCACAGGTGCTGGCCTTGCCACTGCAGCACCAGTCTCACCTTGGACACCAGGATTCCTTTTTGTCATCTGTAAAACACAGTGCCTAGGGGACTTTAATTCACCTGCTCCAGGCTCTCTGGGCATAACGGTTTGAATTCCTGGAAGCTGAACCCACACTTGTACTTTCTTTTTCCTCGCCATCCTGGGCCACCTCCTCCTCTCCCTCAGTCTCAGTACCCTGGCAGGCATCAGAGTGACCTACCTGGACCCACAGTGTGCCCAGGTGCCAACTCTCTCCCCAGCTGATCCTTTGACTCTTAATTTTTAGAGAGCAGTGAAGGCTTAAGAGAGCAGTAGCGCTCCCCGCTTTGTGATCTGCACAAACAAGAGGGCCACGGCTCAACTCCAGGTCGGTGCCCGGAAGAATTACTTGGTGCTTACTGTGCGCCTCGTGTTGGAGCTCCCCTAGGAAGAGCTTTACTTGGGAACTTCCTGTGAATGTCCCAGGAATGAGTTGGGGAGAGCGAACACTCACTGTTCGGGATTGCTGATAATAAATCAGCCAGACAGCTGCTCTGTTCTCATGTACGTCTGGCCCTCGCATGGTCAAACTGACACATTCCCTGAAGGTCTCCGGAAAGCTCTGAAGCCAGATACGGAGCCCTGGGAAGTATAAAGCCTGCTCACCCTTCAGGCTGTTCTTCCCTTGACAATGATGGAGGCCGTGAGAAGGCTTGTCTTCTTGGCCCTCTTCATTGTGCCATGTTTGGCAGAGTTGAACTGGACCAAGTCTGAAGGTAAGAACACTGAACCCATTGTTTCCTATCAAAATTGGGAGACCTCCTTTCAAGAGGCCTCTGCCGAAAGTTTTTTAAAGTTTTAATATCTGCTAATGGCCTTAATACAGGGAACATTTATTTATATGCTCTTCATGTGATTTTGAATTAGTACCAAGGTTTTTTTCAGGCCTATATGACGATATACATAAAAATGTAAAAGGATAAAGAATTTTACCTAGTAATTTTACTACTGAGAATTAAATATTTAGGAGATAATTATAAAAGTGCACACAAACACACTGCATTTACATAATTTTAAGAAGCAATGTAAATTTCCCTCATTTATTCTGTAAGTTGTAAAGACATACAAAGGTATATACTTTGGCGATTTCTTACAAATCATAAGAAAGGTACCCAGGATCTACTTTAAGAGAAAAAACAACTACCTGAAATTTATTTATGTTTAAAATACATACATTGGAGCATCTTTAAAAAAATCTGGAAGTAGACGAGAAAAAGAAAGGTTCTGGAAGTTTTTACAAGAAGTTTTTAATGGTGATTTTTTTCCCTGGATGGGTGGGATTATACTTTTTTCTTTAATTGTCTTTGCTTTCTGATATTTTTTACTAATAAACATAATAGTAGTTATTGTTAGGGGAAAACAAGAGACTATTGTTATAAGGATGTCACCCATCACAGATGAAAGTGAAAAGCTTTTTGTTTCTAAGTGGAGTTAACCATTCGTTGGGTTCCATTGTGAAGTATTTGATTTTCTTGTTCACATTCCGTTACAGCTGCTGCTGCTTCTCCTCCCCCCTCCTTTTCTTTTAGTAACAGCTTTATTAGGATATAATTCACATACCATAAAATCCACTCTTCTAAAAATGTAAAATTTACTGGTTTTTAGTACACCGTTACTTAATTTGAGAACATTTTCATCACCCCCCGAAAAGAAACTCCATACCCATTAGCAGTTACTCCCCATTTTTCCCAATGCTCTCAGCCCAAGGCAACTACTAATCTACTTTCTGTCTCTATAGATTTCCCTAATGTGGACATTTCATAC